ACTACTACTGCTACTGCTACGACTACACCTACTCTTACGACGACGAGTCATTGCCACTTCCACTGCAACTACGATCCTCCCACTGGCAATACCACGACCACCACTACGACGACTACTACGACTACTACTACTACTACTACTACTACTACTACTACTACTACTGCAGTACTACTGCAACAGCTCAGTTGCTGCTGTTGCTGCTGCTCTAGGACAACCTATCACTACCAGCGGGCTACGGTGCTATGTCTTTTGAAGTCATCCCCAATCCGTCACCATGCCAGTAGCAAGACATAAATATTGGTCGAGCATGATGCTCAACCCCATTTTTCAGAAGCAATGAACCCTAACAGTACTAACAGTACTGCGCCATACAATTGCAGCAACCATTGCGCTGATGATGTCAACAACACGAAAAAGGGATGATCATCTGTCACGAGCATCACAGAGTCTGTACAGAACTTGCAAGAAAGCTTGAACACCACAAGCCTCTGCCAGGTTCTTGCAGAACAATTTTTCTAGGATCATCTGACAATTCCCCGACAAGGCAATGACCTGCCCCTCCTTGAGGAGCACCAGTTCGCCCGCCACGGCCGCCTGCCATCGGTTGAGCGCGTTCGGCGGTGCCCGACCCCAGATGGTTTGTTGCGAAACTCTCTAACTCACAACTATATTATTCATTCAACACATAGTTCGAACACGAGATAGGATTTCCGCACCATCTTAAACTTCAATTAAATTCGCAGACACGAAAGGTGACAAGTGTTCGACAAGAGTCTTCACCAGCAGCAGCATCACTGTCGATCATCAGTCTCACCATCACTGCTGCAATGTGTCTGTAGTCAGCATACTGAGGCATACTGACCTTCACCATCGTCATGGTAGTCGCCTATAGCGCCGTCGTGTTCATGCTCATGTAGTAATGCTGCTACTGCTGCTGCTGCACGTACTATCTCCGTAACACTTTCGATATGATGGGAGCCTTGAGGAAGGCTGCCGGGCCCTTGAGCTTCCGACCTGGCATCGCTGGGTGTAAGGCTCAGGGTTCAGAACTTGGGAGCAGGGTGGACACCTTGCTTGTTTCAGACCGGTGGTCCCATGAGTGCGAAGTCCCTCTGTGAGCCCCCCCGGATCTACTCGGGCTGGGTTAAGCCATGAGATTCTTACACTCCAAAAGAGATCTTTCGATTTGGAAGCAGTTTGTTGCTAATCGCGAGGAAAGGCAGTCCTAAGGCTGCCAACACATTCAAGCTCACTGCAGTCCAGTCGTCTCTGCCGGACCCCGGACAGTGCGGACTACCGGACAACCGCCCCCTCGGCCGATTTAGCTTCCAGTTGAGCTTGCGATCCCACTGCATCTAGATTTTGCCTGTCCCTGAAAACTCTCGCGTTGCAACAGTTACCGATAGCATGTCCTAAGGCTCGCTTTAAAGCCTCATTGTACTTAGACTATAATGTACACCAAAGCCACAGCCCTACTCATCTAATTGTCGGAGAACCCCTCATAATTCCCCGTTAAGAATCCCTCACAGACCCTCAAGGACCCGAAAATATAGAACCCCATAGTACCCTTTAAGGGAACCCGACTATAGAACCCTTTAAAGGATATAGAACCCCCCTAAAACCCTAAATCCTAAACCCCTAATTTAAGGGCCCTTGAAGTATCCAGGCCCCTGTTTTTCGGAACCCTAAACCCTAAACCGAATCGCCATGGTTCGCCTGGATGTCGGTCGCTCTTGGCTCGCAGCAGTCTCACCTGTGTGAGGGTTTAGGGTCTGGGATTTAGGGTTTGATTTTAGGGTGTAGAGTTTAGGATCTTCTATACGGGTTACCATGGGTTACCATGTGTTACTATCCAGGTTCATATAGGGTTTAGGGTTTGGGGCTTTCGGGTGAAGGGTTCAAGGTTAAGGCTTTCAAGTTCAGGGCACCTTGTTCAGGGCGTAGGTTTCGGATGCCCTGCCCGCAGCATATGGGTAGTTCTCTAAATGAGGGTCCACTTTTTAGTTCCCAAATACAGTACGGCACGCTTGCAAAAAAGACCTAAAGAGGGACCCTAATTCAGAGAACCACCCATCTGCGGGGAAGATTTCGGGCCAAGTCCAAATCGGAGTTTTGGAGTGCAACAAACACGGACTCTAGTTGCATCGGGAGGATAACTACATTCATTGCAATGGAGGGGCCTTAATAATTAGAATAGGGTTTTGGGGTATGTCATACTATAATATTAATACGGAGCCCCCAAACTAGTAACTATAGGTAGTTCTTAAAACCCCTATGTTACCATTGTAGACCCCCGAAGAACCGCAGAAACCCCCCGTCCGTAGCCTCCACGCTGCCGTCTTGGTGGGCCCTTAGCCTGCTCCGCGGCTTTCATGAGAGCTCCTCCGGCTTCAAGGCTTTCTTGTTTTTGTGGGTTTAGGTTTAGATCTTGTTTTTGGGTTTAGGGCTTCAGAGGTTTAGATCTTGTTTTTTGGGTTTAGGGCTTCAAAGGTTTAGGTCTTGTTTTTTGGTTTAGAGCTTCAAAGGTTTTAGGTCTTGTTTTCTTGGCTTTAGGGCTTCAGAGGTTTAGGCTCGGAGGGGTTTGGATTTCAGGGCCTGGAGGTCTGCAGATGCGATTTGGGATCTTTGTTCAGGCTCGGTGTCTAGAGACTGGAGAGACTGAAGTGATGAGAAATGCTTCAAGGGGGCTTGTATAGCGGAGTGTCAGTCATCTTTAGCTCTTGCACAAGACTGGACAATGCTTTACGGCTTTCTTTGCCGAGGATGACTCGGGCTGTCAAGCTTGCTTGTGCCGGGTTTGGGGTCTTGATCAAGCTTTCTCACAGCTCAGCAAAAAAAATGAGGAACTCGGAGAGGTTACATCTACGCATTCTGACCTAAGCCCTACACCCCGACACTGCAAAGGATCCCGGATGGTTTCGGGGGTTCAAGGGCCCTGCAGCTTCCGGTTGGGACTGGACTGGGCTTTGAAAGCTCCCATCCCTTCTTATGCTGCCCTAACCCCCAGGTACCTACTAATTTAGGGTTTAGGGGTTTCAGGGTTTAGGGCTTCTAGGGTTTAGGGTTTAGGGACCTACTATATAGGGTACTAGAGCCCCTAGGGCCCTATGTAGTAGGTACCTGGAGGGTTAGGGCTGGCGACTGGGCGCTCTCCTAGCAACGGAGATGGAACGTCAGGCCTTCTGCACGTCTGGCCGGGGCTTTTCCTGGGCCACTGCCCGCCTGTCTGCAGGTGAAGACAAGAGAAGTCATGTCTTCTAACCTCCCAGGTACCTGCTACATGGGGCCCTAGGGGCTCTAGTACCCTATATAGTAGGTACCTGGGCGGTTACGGGTCTTCAGGCTCCTTTCGACGATGACATGCCGCTACCGGCTGCTACCGTCACCTACGTTGACTGCTCTGTCACAATGACGACTGGAATTATACTCGAGATCATGGCCCATGACTTGCTTGTGGTTACAACATGATTCTTGATGCTGTGCCCCTTTCACTTGGGCTCAAAGAACGGATAGGCCTGGCCTCTGCAGCCGCCGGGGCAGGCGATGCCGACTGCGGCTTCTCATCGCCAGTGCTCGGGGAGAGTGATCCCAATGCGTCAGGCGACCTTACAGTAGTATACTCTCGAGCAAACTTCTGCACCCTACTTTCTTGATTACAAACTCATCACAATCATGGTACACCTGGTGTCATAAGTTTGCTGCTTCTCGCCGGGTGATGCATCCGGGAGCTGTCCGCTCGCCTGTCGGCGCACAGCACAAAGAAGCAACCAGCGGAAGTCTTTCGGCTCTTCAGATGCCTGCACTGGCAGCTTCGCAGGCCTCACACGCATGCAAGGGTACCGTGTCTAGGGATGCAACAGGACCCCTTGCAACACAGCTGAGAGCTGCACGGGTCGTGGACAAACGGCGAACCTCGACACCATGTCTTCATTAGGAGACGCGACCCCTTGCCTGATCACGGCCTTCAGGGCTAGGAAAGAATCCTTGGAGTGACATTATGGACATCCCTCGTTGAAGTCTCAGTTGTTTCCTCAAGCACTCGTAGTAGTAATTATGTGTTTTTTGCGGTGATCAGTCCTGTACAGTAGGCCGCTTGCTCTGATCTGATCGCCGGCATCATTGGGAAGAGGGCAGGGCTGAAATTCCTGAAGTTCCAGCTGCAGCCACTGGCCTGGCTCCGGCGACGGGGTCGGCGATAACATCGGCGGCGACAGGGGTGACATCAGACGGTCAGAGGAGTGACCACGCCTCGGATCTGTTAAGAATCCGGGTTAAGGCTTGGGTTTTACATTGGGGGGGTTTGGAGGAGGCGGGTTCACACCGCTACCGCAAGCAGCATCGTAGCAATATGTCATATTTGTGATATAATGACGGCGGTTATGCAAGGAACAACGACGGGGCAACGATCAAGAAGGGCGGAACAAAAGTATCACATCAAAACAACATTGCACTGTAGTAGTCGTCATGAACAAATCATCACAGAAATCCAAACGCAGAAATGGGCCTGAATCGTGGTTAACTATGTTTGACTGCATGGCTCTTGAGAACAACGATGAGACGAACGGGAAAGATGCTCCGGCTTGCATATTTCGGGGCTTTGTGATCTTCAATACATCGAAAACAAGGCTCTTCGCACTGAGAAACAAGTCTTGGAAGCTTCAGAATTTCTGAAGTTTAAGAGATATGGTTTCTCTAGGGCTTGCTCTTGTTATTTAACTTTCGGAGCAGCTCCGAGAGCCAAATAACAAGAGTTGGTGTTGCTAGGGTTTAGGGATTATAAGGATTCTGGCTGAAGGGTCTCCGGAGGTCCAGGGCACGCATCCTGGGCTGCCCGCCTCTTCGGCGACATCAAGTTCCGATAGCTTCGGGCAATGAAGGCATGGAACCTCAGACGGCGGTCGAGGTGCACCCCACCGTAAGCCTCAGACTGTGAGTCTTTTGAGCATTTCAGCAGAGAGTATACTTGGCACTCCAAACCTACAGGAAGGCTTGCTGAACCTGATCTCGGGTGCTCACTGTCGTTGCTGAGCATCAGCCACAGCAGCGCTGGCCCGGAAGCAACGGAGGGCCTATTTCTGCAAGGGATACTACTTGCCGCAAAAGTTGTGTGGGACCATATGAGGGGCACCTCTTCTGCCGCTGCAGCCTCAGCAGCGGCAATCTCGGCGTTGGCGTCTATCTCTGACTGTGGGATGCCATCACCTGCCCGGCCCCGCAGGCGCGCACGCGCGCACACAGAGCATACATCATGCCCAGTGTCACAAAGCTGCCGATCTCGCCACCTTGTGCAACACACGTGGACGTGAGGTGGAAGTGTGCGGCGAGCTCCTGTCGCGGCAGGCACCAACGAAACGAAACTCTTTGTTTCATGTTGCCATGCGTCTGATCCAATGCTTAATCAGCCTCCTCATCCAAGAAATTGTCGCCATCGTCTGCGTCGCCCTGGCAGATGTCTCTGGCTCAAACAGGGATGGAGCACGACTTTGGGCTTCAAGAAGGCAGCCTTCCGAGGGTATTGGACCGCAACGGGAAACACTTCCCGGTGCGAAGTTGAAATGAGAAGCCAGCTTCTGTGACGACACAGAAAGTGAGACAATCCTACTTAAACGTGTATGTGCGTCAGCAAAACTATTCGTCACTCTGTGTGTGTTATAGTTTCTCATCTGTCGGTTGTTCCGCTGTTGCGTCTCTTCCATGTCAGTCCTGATTAACACCAGGAGCTTTGAACGGTACATCAACGAAAATGTGCCCACGTATACAGAGATACGCATGTACATATATATATATATACACATGTTTGTATATGTACAAATGAATCTATATATATATATATGCATATGTATATGTATACTGATTTATTTATGTATGCATTTGGTTTGTTTGCTTGTACATACGTGTCCGAAACTGTCATTTACATCTAGTTATACATGTTTGTATAGATAGACAGTACCTGGACAGATATGTGCGAATCGTGCCTCGAGCTTCGGGTCTGCCGCTGCCGCTTCTTCCTCCGAGTCCTTTTGCATGCCAATCGAGTAAAACTGACGACAGCAATCCTTCTGCTAACCCGTCGTCACTACTAATCCTGCTGGCTATGTGTCTTGATCCTTCACCGATAAGGACAATGTAGCAACGGTATGACGTAACGGCTCGAGTGATGCCAGTACTGATAGAGCCTTTCTAGAACGACCACGTGAGTTTCTAGCATCTCCTCGCCATCGCTGTCACTCTCGCTGGCAGTTCGGCTCAGCTGGTGCAACAAGAACTCCAACTGCCTGCACGTATCGATCTGATGTTAGGGGCATCAAAAGTTAAGGGATTTCAAGCCTCGGAACTGGCTTAACGGCTTCTGAAAGCGAACTCAGCTGCCCGACTCCGATGATGCTTTTGGAAGGCAGCCAGTTTGGGTGCCAATGTCTAAGACGAGGTCTTAGGGAACTTTTCAATCCGAAAGACCACGTGCAAAGCTTCCCGTACCTGCGAGCTGGTATTAAGTAGAAAATCGAAGATGCCCGATGACACATATATCATAACGCAGGCAGGTGAATGGCAAAAGATGGCCCAACACAACATGAAGATGTATACAATTCATTGGCTACATACATGCATGCATGCAAACACAGGCGCACACAACACACACACAGACAAAACACACAGAGGCACGCACCAATACGTACATACACGTACACAAGCACACATACATGCATAACTGCATGCATACATACATACATACATACATACATACATACATACAGTAATACATACATACAAACATGCATACCTAAAATACCTACATACCTGCATACCTGCATACCTGCATACCTACCTACCTGCGTACCTACCTA